CATATCATGATGCAGGCCTTTTTTTACTGTAATCATAAGCTGATTAGATCAAGATGAGAACTAATTGCACAACTACTGAAGTTTCTGTTGAAATGGAGTCCTGGTCTTGACTGAGATTTGTAATAAAGTCATAACCACAGTTACTAATATGAGTAATAAATAAAGGGATAATCTCAGTGAATATTATGTGAATCAGTTTCACAGCTGCAGTTCTTAACAACATCTATTTCTTTCTATTCAATCTTCTTTTTGGTTTCATTTACTTATGCTAACTAAGTCTTCTCACTCTCTTCCTCAGTTCGTTGCTACTTACAATATGCTACATACATAAACCTAGTTTCCCTCAGGTTACCCATTTTGTGTTCTCTAATCTAAAAGATTATTTCTATTCTTTTCCCTTTCTCAAGTCTTTGATGACCACAATGGGGTGTAGTGTATAGAGTGTAGTGTATATTGTACTGTATGCAATTTTATGGTACTGTATTCATAATAAGTAGTGTGGAGACAAAACCCCTCCTCTGTGCCATGATAGCAGCATGAGCTTCCACTAAAAAGTACAATGCTGTGCATAATCAAAGAATCATTACTGTTCTATTTGTTTAGGGTTCTTGGTCAGGGTACCTCCTTACAGCTGTGGAAATAATTACATCTCTACTGCTAGATATCAATGGATTACATGTAGGTATACATGCATCTTCTTGCAGCCATGTGGACTTTTGTGTGTAAGAACAGAAAGCTGGTCTGGTGGTTAAATGTATTATGTGTGATGTTCCCCCATGACTTCCTTTAGATTCTTGGTGTAACCTTGAAGACAATGAGTTTCTCAAAACCTTAGTTCCTCATTTCCAAGTCAAGGACTTCAGTAATGGTACCCGGAGCCTCACAGAGGCACTAGGAGGTTGAACCAATTACCAGCTGAGATACTGATAAAAGAAGTAAAGAACCTTAGGTAAATGTTTGGCTCATCTCTGTCTCGAAGGCAAAGGTGAGAGCAGCTACTGTGCTCTAATACTCTACCAGTGCAGGTGGCATTGAAGTTCTTATCCTTCATTGAACAGGTATGAACTTTAAAGCCTTTTGTGATGGTATTACATGTTTCTAGTAGACTTCATTATTCTCTTGTTTAGTGGAGGCTTCTAGTTAGCAAGTGATTGAAACAGCTTTCAAAATGTTTTATAATATTTTAAAGTGTCAAACCCTGTTTTAAAACAGTTTTGAAAAGAGTGGAGACAAAAGAAATGAATGAAGGAGAAGCTTGGGTGGAGAAGAGAGACTGGAATGAGTAGGTGATGATGGCAGAAATGTGAAACCACACAGTGCTTTGAGAGGACACAGGTCCATGTGGTGATTCAAGATCCTTCACTCCTCCTCTGTCATTTGGCTTGCGGAGTTAAAATGCAGTAGCAGACTCCATTCAGGGAATGACTTTCTAGTTTGCACTCAGAAAACAGACAACTATGATGAAGCATGTGCTTTGATTCCTGAGTAGGATTTCCACATTTACAAATTTCCTTGGGCTGACCTCTGTAAGACCTTCTCACCATTTAAGAAATTGAGCTGACCATTGCCTTTTTCCATGCTTACAGTCTCCCACATCTTCTTTGAAGTTATTGTACCTTGGAATTTTTGATCATCTTTGAAAAGGACCATATTTTATTCTAATCTTGATTACTGTTGCACAATTGTGTGTTGAGTTTAAGATCAAAAGATATTTTGCTTGACATTAAACATTAACCACAAATTGAATATCAGCAGATCTGTGTTGACAGTACTGTTAGTTGTTATTTGGACATTCAAAGAATTAATAAATAACATGAAGATTGATAACAGGTATTTAATTATTGCAGCAACTGTTTCAGGATTTTTTGAGGTATTCCATTGATGGGGAAAAGGTGCAACTTCTTATCTTTGTTATTTTAAGGTGAAAAATACATTTAAATGCATTTTTGTTCATTGGATCCCAACAGATTTTCTTATACACCTCAAAATCTCTCCTGGTTGTTCTGGTTTCCTCAAGACAGTTCAGCCAGTTATGCATTACCCAGTGTGACTGATATCTGTAATTAGTGATTAGTTGCTGAGTTGGTGTTAAACGTGTATCATCAGGTTGCGGGACTTTATTCAGTCCTTCCTCCTCTCTAAACACAATACACCCATAGCCAACCTGAGAAGATAGTCCAATCTTTAGCAAGGCTGTTCACCCTTAATAAGAGGAAAAACAGAGATCTACTCCACAGCTCTATCTAGATACAAGAGTATAAGTCTCAAATGTAGTGCTTCTTTGTTACTCAGACAATATCAAATACCTTTCTTCGTAATTGGGAGTCATAGCTAGTATGTACAACAGAGATATCCCAGACCATAAATGAAAAAATTCTCTAAAACACACATACATCATTAGTGCATAACTGACAGATAGCCTGCTTCTCAGGCACCATCTGAAGAAGTAACTATGCAAAGTTCATATTATCTTTTTAAAATGTTAAAAATCAATAGAAGAACTGTAGAAAATATTGTGTGGGAGAGAGCTAAAGAAAATATTTTAATACCTCCTTTACCAATAAATTGTTACCAACACGTATATTACATTTTAAGATTGAAATAATAAGTTGTCGCGGTCCGAAAGGGGGAACAGGACACCAGAAAGGGTGTAAGCAGACTTGTTTATTCAGGCGTGCGCCCGATTCTTAACCGTCCCGCCAGGGGAAAGAGGGGGCAGAACATAGGGTGGGCTATCAGACAGACAAACAGGGGAGCAAATCAGAATAGGGCACAGGCAAAAGGGGGAGGAGCGGGGGAAGCAGGGAGCAGGCAATCTCATGGTAGGTCTGGGCATGTGCAGTTGTGCACCGCGCAACCTGAATACAATGAAACCACACAATAACAGCAACGTCCATATGAAAGTCCTGCCAATTGCTGCATGCTTTTCTCCATCCTGAACCGTGTTCCGTCACAATAAGTCTAAAAATATCCTAATATTACACACAGGAATTAGAGACATCTGCATTTGCAATGTTAAAGTAATTTCTTACCTCCCATGGACATCAAATACATGCTGAAAAACTGGAAGATGTTTCTTGTTTGGACAGTATCAGAAGACTTGAAAGATAAATCATACATAACCTGATTGCACAAATTGCTTTAAGCAACATCTATTTATTGCAACATGGTTCACACTACAAGTTTAAAGAAAATGTGGAATGAGAACCAAGAGACTGGTAGAGAAAGAATAATATAATTACTCATAAGGCACTGTCTTTCTGTGGGTCATGTGGAAATATTAATAACAGGAATTATTATTTTTTTTTTTTTATCATCAGATGTTCCAAGCAGATTACAAAAGAGGAAAGGATAGTTATCACTGTTTTGTTAGTGGGGAAATGCAGATAGAGAAGTAATATAAGTGGAAGCAACTGCCCCGAGTGACTTAGCAGTCTGGAGCAGAGCTGGGATTGCAGCCAACATGTCATGAGACCTTCTCCAACAGGTTACCCAATTGGTCATGCTTCCTCTCAGTATGTATCCCACAGTACCACGCTGCCTGTTATACCCAATCTGACCTGTTTCTGTGAATACACAACAAGTTTTTAGAGCTGGAGGAGTTAGAAACAGCTGCAGTTGTCCAGCAGACAAAAGATATGTCCATTGTCTACGAAGGACAGCAGATTTGCTCAAAATGGGTGTGCTGGGAAGGCTGACTAACAGGGTAGAGAGAGTGAGTCCCATCATTCTTCACTGTATTGTCAGGGTCTCTGTTACCACAGGTTCATGAGGCATCAACTCTTTTATGCTCTTAGGAGCAGATGCCTTGCACTGTTCCTTGCTAAAAACCCCTTCTTAGCAGTAACAGAGAGAATCCTAGCCACTAACAAATATTCTACACACACCAGGCTAATACAGAAAAGGAAAGTTAGTTGCACCCAGCCTTCCTCTCCCTCAAAAGCTCTGGCAACCCACAAAAGGCAACTCATCAACACCCTGTGGCAGTGCCCAGGAGGTAGACCAATCTGGTCTAGTGAAAGTTGTCCCTGACCAAGGCAGGGGGCTGGAACTAGATAAGCTTTAAAATCCCCTCCAACCCAGGCCATTCTATGATTCTGCGATAGTTGTGCTTGCCCAGCCAGGAGGCTACTTGCCCCAACTTGTGTCTGGGAGTGGTTCCTGGGAGCCCACTTCAAAGCACTCCCCATGTATTATGAAGATTTAATGTCGTATTTGTAGCTACCTGTGCAACTTTCTGTTACATTACCACCTTCCTCAGAAATCAGAATTTTCTCCACTATCAAGGCTCAGAGTTTAAATCAGCAATATGAAAGTGCACTGGTATTTTTATGTACTTTTTGATGGTGAAGGGATGTGATCACATGTTGGGTGAGACAGTCAGCTCAATACATGGGCTGGGATACAGCTGTGTGGGGGCAGCAGACCAGATGGGGAAGATCCTTTGTACCCAGACCCTCTTGAATTCTTCTGTTTCCCTCTCAAAAGTAAAGAAAAAAGTCAGACTCTTGTCTAAATGCTCAAAAAGTTAAATAAGTATTTTACCCTTTAAATAGATTCTCTCAAAATGTAGGCCTTTTTCTTTTCTATCACAGAAACCTCTTGATTTGCAACCCACAGTGGATATACCAGTAATGTGTTTGTTAAGTAGCTATGTGTACGTTTTTCTTACCAGTTGTCTCTATTGCAGTAGTTTCTCTACATTTCCATAATGACAAGAGTTCCTACCTGCAGGAGGGAACAAATCGAATAAATGCTGTTGAATAAGCAGCTGTCAGAAAACTAATAGAAACAGTATCTCCTTTTTGCAGCTTACTTTATATACAGCGTCTTTTGCAACCGGACATGCCTGTCTCGTATTGACCTTTTTAGCCACCAACGCGCTTGCAACAAACGTGGGTAGAGCCCTTCCCAAATCTTCATTCGCAAAGCCTAGCCATGAAAAAAATATATACAGTGCTATAAGGCTGTACTTTAAGATATTTATAGTAATTTGTTAGTTAAAATATATCTTTTCCAATACAGTTAGTCAGACTGATTGCTATGTAAGCCTGACCTTGCCCACTGCTTCCCCTGAGACGGTCCGGACCAAAACCATCATGAACTGCAAAGATCCAGTGTGGAATGAAACATTTTGCTTCAGGATCCAGAGCCAAGTAAAAGTAAGATGCTGAGTGCATTTGTTTTTCTTGGGGGCAGAGATGTCATTCAGTGATAAATATGTAGGGTAAAATAAAAATTAATACATGTGAGGGACTACAAGGATAGAGGTAAGAAGATTTGGAATAGATTGCAGCAGTAAAATTCAATTTGATTTTCCGATATGTAAAAAAAATAACCACAATATTTCACAACCATTCATACAATGTTCTATACTTTTAATTTTTCTTCTTTTTTTTCCCCATTTTTTTAACCATCACTTTTCAAGAGTAAAAGTGAAAATTTCAGAATAAATTCAATAGTGTAAAACACACGAATGAACTTGGTAGGGGAAGCATTGCAGGGCTGTACTTTTTTACTATTCCTTTGTAATGACTTGCAATAAAAAAGTTACAAAATAAATAGTTGAAGTTTGTATAAGAAAACTAGCTGAACTTTTATCATGATGAAACATGTTAAGGCTTTAGAAGATTTGCAAGTCCTACTGTCTACTCCCTCAGAAAGACAGCCTCAACATCAGGGTCTAGCAGTTCACAAAGATCAGTGGTAGGCCAAGTAAACCAAACTTACTTCATACCTGGGCCAATCCATCTCTGTTTAACAGCCTGCACTGTTCATTTCCCAGTACTGGCGGTAGATCAGGACTCTCTCAAGTGACAAATCAACAGGCCAGTCTCCTGGCTCTCTCAAACATTGATAAACTCCTCCCAAAGAGTATTCAGAATAGCTCAAAGTGTTGCTACATTCCAGTGAATAATCCCTCTTGCCTACCGACTGCAGAAGTTGCCCATGATACATGTTCTCAGACTTGCTTTCACAGAGGTTGGATGGTACTGGTTCTGTTTGGTACAGCTGTTCATCTGTACACAGCCAGTGCTTTCCCTGCTGACCTAAAAAAATTCCAACTCCTTTCAAAATGCTGATGAGACACAATTTCACAGTGTGCTGCAGGTTTATCAGGAAGGCGAAAGGCAAGGGAAAAACATTGCATGGGAACAAACACCCACTGATCTATTGCTCTTGCACCAGAGCACCTGCTCATGCTGACAGGTTTTTCAAAACCGCATTACCACACAGAGGAGTTAGAAAAGTATCTTGGCCACAGGAAGCTGCTTGAACTAGTCCTTTAGGTGGTAGCATTTGGGAAGACCTCACATTTACTTTACAGTAAGTTTGCAGCAGGAGATAAGATATCTGACATTAGGCCCAGTAATTTTCAGTGTGTGGCAACAGCAGCATGGTGGTGGTGGTGGCTATGGCTTCAGTGTAGTCTGCACAAGATGTGTCCTGAGCATTTGGGATAGCCAGAGCACTCTGGCACATCTGTCACTGCTGTCTCACTGCTGTCTGGGCTCAGCAGACTAAGTTAAGAGTCTTGCAGGTTTCTCTGTATACACTGCAATTGCTCTGCTTTTTACCCTCTGAGTAGAACCAGAGTCTGCTAATCTGGTTATTTTCTCCTTTCCTGTCTTGCGTTTTGTTGAGGTGTTCAACTTCCCAAATCACGGTAGCCAGAGTTCAGTAAAACTACATAATACACTACCACTGTGGAAGAGAAAAACTGGTTTGTGTATGTTCTGCTGGTTCTCAGCAGAAACAGCGGTGTTTACCGAAGGGCATCTGTTTTGATGAATGTCTGACAGTCAGCTAGAAAGGGCTTCTGAGGCTTGTGCTGTGCACATGATGCTCCAGGAGGATAACCCTTTCCAGAGTTTGTGGCACATAGCCCTGCCAGCTGGCTCTGCTCATTGCCTGGCTTCCAACGATGCCCTGTCAGGAGCAGATAGAAACAGTGAACTGCCCAGATCCCCCTGGCTGCTTCCCACACAGCATCGCAGTGGTGCAGAGGGAGATCCCCCTTAGCCATCCAGCACCCTACGCGTGTCCCTCCTGGCTAGCTGGGAGTAACTGAGGGACTCAAATCAGTAAGTCAGTCATTTTAGTCAAGTATGGATTGTCTATTGCAATATCACAGCTATGAAAACTGATCTGCTCTTTAGTGCAAGCCTGTCTTCTACTAGCTGTAAAGTATTGCTTTAAAGCATAACCCCTTCATCACCTTCCATAATCCTTTGCAGGCTATTTATGGCTGGCCTGTAAACTAAGTTGCAGTGGCTGCTTCACTCTGCCTCTTGTTAGTATTGTGTGGTGGGCAGGACTGACTCTGTCAGTCCCAAATAAAGTTGTTCTTCTAGCTGAGGCACAGTGTGATGCATTTACATATGTGGCCTTAAAGGCCAACAGCCTTTCTGCCTTCTGACAGTAAACTGCAAACTCAAGGTCACTTGCCATCTCTCACTTGCTGGTTTCTTATAGAATGATAGATGTCAAAATTTCTTACAGAATTATAGAAGTCAAAATTGAATACTTGAGTTCTGGAATGTCTTCCTTCAGTATATTTGTCTGTTTAATCACTTATTTAGATTTCGGTGTGGACCTTTCTGTGATACATTATGAACTTCTAAAGCAACAGAGTTCACATGCTCACTCTTTTTTATCTACGTGTTTGTGTCTTTAATAAGCATCAAGCCTCTTAGCAAGTTTCAGTTAAATCTGGTGCACAAATAAGAATCTGAGATAAGCACTCCTTGTAATTTATATGAAAATGAGCTGCTGAATATATTGAGAGAGGTCTCAATTATTGCCCCACTGGGAAAACAGCAGTTAATGTTCATTTGCTCAGTGCTCTGGGAGGCACTTCTGAGCCAGCCCATGTCCAGATATCAACTAGGCACAGGGGTGGTTTTTACCCTCTCCTGTCCATCCAAAGAGGCAGATGACAGTGGGGGGAGAGGAGGACATTCATAAAGTGGGATTTGTGTAATTTAACAAAAATATATCAGTTTCTGTAGATTCCATGATAATTATCTGCATGTGATCTGTTTAATAATTTACAGGATAAAATTATGCAATTATACAGTAGTTATATGGTGCATCCTTGAGAAATTTTAATTGCTGCTTACATCAATGGATTTTTTTGTTCCTCCCATAGCAATAAAGTCTTGACTGCTGGCTGGTTTCCTACAATTCAGGGTAAAGTGGTGACCTCAAACCAAATTAGAGGCCAAACATGTTTTTCAATATGGAAATTCAATATTCAGTGATTCTACTAGCCTTTGTCATTTAAATTGCTTTGCAGGGGAAATCAGCAACAAACCCAACTCTGTCTTAAGTTCAGAATATTTTTCTTTGTGTGGATGTAAAAGTTGCATGTGATCTCTCACTTTTCCCCATACTTTCTCTGTTTTCCCTAACATGCTGAACACATCACCTTATGCCTCTGTAAGGTCTCAAATTAAGATCCTAATTCTGTGCCTCTATTTGCAGAATATTCTTGAGATGAAAGTCTATGATGAAAATGCAGCCACTAAAGATGACCTCCTCTTCACTGTTCTCTTTGATATTGCTAAAATCCAACTTGGAGAAACTGTTCGCTTGACTTTTCAGCTGAATCCAAAGGTGAGGGATAAAACTACCTTGGCCACAGGAAAGAAATACATTTTTTGATATTACCTTCTAAGATCTTTTGAAGCAATTGTAGGTGGGAGGGTTTATTTCCTATTGGTTTGCACTTCATACATCCTGAAAGTACCTTCCGAACCTTACTCAGCAAAGTAGACAAAGTTTGCCTCCCTACCTTGAACATAATCCTGAAGGCTTTTACTAGCTCCTCAAGCCTCTTAAGCAGTTTTTTTTCTGACACCAGAGTTCCCTCTTTGTTGTCGCAGTCCGAAAGGAAGAGGGGACAGGAGGCCAGGAAGGGTGCAAAGCAGACTTCTTTATTCAGGCGTGTGCTCAATCTTTAAGCCTCCCGCCAGGGAAAAAGGGGCAGAACAAAGGGTGGGCTATCAGACAGACAAGCAGGGGAGCAAATCACAATAGGGCACAGGCAAAAGGGGGAGGAGGAAGCCTGGGCATGTGCAGTTATGCACTGTGTAGCATGGATACAGTGAAACCACATAATAACAGTAAAGTCCATATGAAAGTCCTGCCATTTGCTGTATGCTTTTCTCCATGCCTGTATCTGTTCCCATCCTGAATCTTGCTTCTCTACACCTCTTCCCTCCTCTTTCTTGACTCCGTTGCTCAAATAGGTTTTGTTGGAAATACAAAACTTCATCACCTTCAACAAAATTCCTCTGTTAGAATTTCTTTTCCTTGCACCAGCACTTGCGAGTTTGGTCATATTCTGGCATAGATGTATTCACTTAAACTGACACCCTGCCCTGTAATTCTTTTGTATATACCCGAATATAACACAGATATCCATACTGAGGTGCTAAAACCTGTTGATGGCCAATTGCTCAAACTATTTCATTATTTCAGTGTGCCCGAACACATACGTGATGACTTTAACATGGGATACGGGTATTCCATTTAGATATGACTATAGATTTGCTGTTTCACTGACTTTTCTTATAGGGTATGTGTGGGTATTCAGCTCTACAGTGATTTCAGAAGGCTGTCTACCTTAACTTGTCTAGTGACTGGCACTCCTATTGTCCGTGTTATAGGAGTTCTTTTGATCAGAAGAATTAAGAATACCCTCTTCTATACAACAGTATCAGTCTTTTGATAACATTACATAGAAAAAAACCAAGGCTTTATAAATTTTTAAGCCAACAGTATTGCAGGTTTAGGACTGTCTGCCATTTTATTCTACCTCACCACCAAATGTAAAAGAGCAGTTGGCCTGGGGATTGATGGTTAACACAGGAGGGAGAACACTTTTCAAAATCACTTTAACTCGATTGCTTTCACTCATCTCTAGTATATCCTAGAGCTGCAGGAAAATTTGATTTGATTGAAGCACTGTTTCAAGAGCCAGAATAATCATTGACAACCAGCTAGTGAGAAAGAAAATTTAATTCAAATGCTTATAATAAATTGATCTTTTACAGACACAGGAGACGCTAGAGGTTGAGTTTACATTGGAGAGCATGTGAGTAAAATCCATATGGAACCAAAAAACTGTCCTTTGCAAGCAGTCAAACACACGTTAACATTTAGTATAATATAGTTTAAAATGCTTAGCATTTTTAACAGTAACAGTTGGTATTGATCAAGTTAGTTGCATATTGGCTAGAACTCTGTGTTCCTTATCTACCAAGAATCATCCTGGTTATTAATTTATCCCATTATTTTCTGGAAGAGGGAGAATGGTAATGAGAAGTTCAGTCACTTAAAAATAAGGAATACACATTTCAGGTGTCTCCCAAAATTAAAAATCAGTGACATGTTCGAGACTATGTTGGCCAAGAAGAACTTTAAGGAATGTATTATTCTTTGGTGTTCATGTAAGAATGTATTTAGGTCATATTAGCTCTAATTGCATTCTTTTTTCTCTTTCAGTCCAGTCCCTCCTGAAAAGCTTGTCACTAATGGTGTATTAGTGGTAATTTTAAACTATTGCTTTTCTATCTTTGTTTTCATAATAGTGATGGGATGTGGTGAATCTGGCAGGTGTCCCAACACCTCTCTGCAGGCAAGGCTGAAGGGGAGGGAGATGGGTTCAGACAGGCATCCATCCTGTTGTGCTGCTCCCTGTGGGAGGATATATTAGGAAAGAATGTACACAGTCATTTGTGATACCCAGAGGTCTGTTCACCACCACCAGCTGATATCAAGCCTCTTTACAAAGCCTGAAATGCTCTTTCAGTGACTTACTGCCTCTGTGTTATTCCTTCTGGGGACTTCCTTTCTGACTCCCTCATGGCCATCCTGTTTACCCAGCTTCCATAGGATGATACGGAAGTTGCTTCCTCAGCTGCCCCTAACTCACTATTTAAAGTATATAGTGCTTGGCTGTCCAGCTTCACCAAAGCAGGGCTGCAAGGACAGCCCTGTAATTTGGCCAACCCATCAGTTTACCCTTGGGAGGCCTCAGCACATTCCTATTCCCTCTCCTGTTATTTTCCCTCTCTTCCCGTCCTTGGGATAGTGCTTAGATGAACAAAGCACCACAACAATTTTTCGTTCAGCTGAAACTTGATGCATTTTCAGAGTGCCAAAGTCTTTCTCTTATCAGCCTAACAAACACAGGGTGAACAGTTTTCCAGACTCCAGGGAGCCAGGTGACCAAAGGCAGGTAGCAGTGAAGTGAGTCAGAGATGGCATGTTTTATATACTTATCTCATTGTTCATCCCTGCTACAGGCTCGTGAAATTTCCTGCTTGCAAGTCCTGGTGGACAACAGATGGACAAAGAAAGAAACTTCAGGTTAGACGTCAAACTAGAAACAAAAAACTGAAAAATAATCTTTTTTTTTTTTTTTTTTTTTTTTGTTTTTTTCTTATCCAGTAATTTTCCTACTTTGTTCTTAAAATGGAGCACAAGAACTGGATGATTAGGGATCTACAGACAGGTTCACAGATACAACAATTACAGCGTGTCTGTGCTAACTAATTATAAAAACTGGACTTTGAAATTAAAGGGAATGATTAGAGAGACAATGGATCTTAGAGGTGCTGTAAAATAGCAGTAAATATACATTTCTATCTCAAGTTTCATTTTGCTCAATTGCCTGTACGTCTCAGTTTTTAACAGTTACTGCTGGTTTATAAACTCTTTCATGTTTTATCTTTTGTTTTTGTTTGTCTGTTTTCTTCTCCTCCTTCTTCTTGCAATGTTCCTTTGATGGATAAATAGTTTGGAGGCTTTTAAGCATTGCTGAAGGGTATATACATATATATATATATATATATAAAACGACAACTTCTGAATGACCATTAAAGTTCTGTTTCTGGATCATAGTCGTTACTTTCCCTGTATGCTTTTCATGATTTTTTTTTTTTTTAGAAAAAGAGTTCTTGTTTTCAGTGAAGGGATCCTACGAAGAGAGCCAGACGCTGTCTCTGGGCTCTTTCTGGCAACCCGTGAAGCCCCTGGACTTCCATTACATCAAGTACAACCTGTCAGAGCTGCGCATGGCTCTGGCAGAGAAGCCTCCTTTCTACTCGGTATATGATCATTAGCTTGAGTAAGCACAGTAAATTCATGGTTTTCTACACTCGACTGAGGCAAATGGAAAGATGTATTTTTAATTAAGAGCCATGTTTCATGAAATTCAGCTCTGGAAGAGCACCGTAACCCCTAAGACATTTAAATATTAGATACTAACTTGAAAACTGAATGAAGAACTCATATAAAAAGTTGGAGACAGTACATTTTTTATGGTGTGTACATTAAATATTTTTCTACGTCATGATTTATTTTTCAGTGTACTTCAGGTGAAAAGAAAAAAGACTGCCATGCATCCCTCACTATTCCTCTGGATTCACTTCCATTGAATGAGAAAGTGGCAGTAGCAAAGGTGATTGATACCCACTTCTTAGAATAAATGTGAAGTTATGGACCAAAGATTAATAGGCATGAGTTAATTAGATCAGTGCGAAGTAGGGGTCTAGATACATAGCTACAAGTGCCCTTAGATTCCTAACAGAGAGGATTATGGACCTGTACATTTTCATAAGGACCAAGTAGAACCAAAAATCCCAGCCAAATATTTGACAGAGGGATTTCTGTGACTAGCTGGGGGACTAATGCAGATCAGAGCAAGTGCAAATGGTGACGCAGAATGGAACACATTGGCAGAGCTGGTGTTGGTTTTTACTGTAGATTGCTCTTTTTATCTTTAGTATAAAACAATATAAATAAAATGGAGTGGATTTGGAGGAGTTTTAAAAATTAGATGGATTTTATGATTGTTATGGCTTTGTGGCTCAACATGGTTTTTAGAAAAAGGGCTTCAGAGTTGACTGAAAGGAAAGAACATAAAATAGCGTCCAGTGCTTATATTGTGGTTTTGCTTTTTTCCTAGGATGAGACAATCAATTTACATATGAAATCAAATGACTGGTAAGAAATTCTGCCTTTGGATTTTGTGGTTGTGAAAAAAAGATATTGCACAGTTTTTTGCCTTATTACCTTTTTCTCTAACTAAGGGAGAAAGCATTCAGTCAATGATTATTTTTACCTACTTACCCCAAGTTCATTACCCATGTCCAGAAGGTGGTTAACTGTGCTGGGTGAATTTTCCTGTTATGCTACTATAGAGAAGTTCAGTTTGGTTGGAGAGAATAATGTTTTCTACCTGCAAAATCTGTAGAGCTATGAGTTTAGAAAAACATGTTTATACTTCACTTTCCTTACTTGTAAAAAATCCAGAGTATTTTTATTTATAAAATCTGGAGTTCCCGAGGCAACAAATTCTAAATATTCCAGTGTTTACAGTATGAATTGCAGTATTTATGTTAGATACTTCTTGAAAAACAGTGTAGTAAGAAAGAACACTTTTGTTGCTTTCTGTAAGATTTTGCTACTTTTTACACTTTCTCAGCCTTGTCTCTACCTTATTTATACTATCTGTGATATCTTTTGTTGGGCCACTGTAGCAGCTTTTCTAAGCCTAGTCATGACTTGTAAGCATGGGTACAGACATTAATTTTTAGTGATCATGCACACCCTATTCAACTCTGCACTTTGTTTGAGGTCACGAAACTTAGATGTTCGTTTGGAGTTTGATCTGTGTAAGGAAGAGAAAAATTTCCTACAGAAAAGGAAGAAGTTTGTGGCTTCTGCTCTGAAAAAAACACTTCATTTAGAGCAAGACCTGCAAGATCATGAGGTATGGGGAGGACCATAGGGACTGTAACATGCTGTGTAACAGGAATGTGTTATTCTTGTAGCCATTCACATATTATTCCTTAACTATCCCTGGTACACTCACTACCCCACATAAAGCATTGAGAAATGTTTAAATGAAGCAGTGTGAGAGCCAGGGTAGTATCAAACCCTCTTAGTACATATTTATCCAGAAAATAGAATGCCATAAATCAGCATTTTCGGGCTTTTTTAATTATTTATTTATTTTTCATCTGTGAATTATAGACCTGAATAGTCCTACTCTTTTAGCTGACCATTCACTCACCAAGGCTGCATAAGGTATTTTATATTATCGGATTTTTGGAGGGAGAAAATCTAACAGTTAAAGTGATGCATAACACTGGCTGATAAGGTTTCTTATCACAGACTCTCTTCTCTGGTGATCATCATCTCAGCTGTAGTTCTTCAAACAGCACAAGACATTTTTCTCTGATCTGCTTGTCTGAGTCACTGTTTGTATTATTTTGGCCCATGCTGGCATGGGGATGGTTGGAGCTTCAGGGTGGGAACACGATCTGTGATCAGAAACTTCAGAAATAAAGAAATTTTCATTTTGAGACTGCTTTTCTTTCATCTGTGTTTTTCCCTTTGTCCAGGACAGGTAGACCAAAGACATGTTAGGCAATGCATGACAGCATCACTTTGGACACCATAGATGATGCCCCTGCTCACAAACTCATCATATAGTTTCTCACTGACACACTAATTTCAGTGGAAAAAAACAGTTTCCTAAGTATAAGAATTTTTTAGAGGGAAGTAGTTCTAACTACTAATTCCAGATTTTCCAGCAAGAGAATATTTCCTTATAGTCAGATAAACCCAAATCAAAATTCTTTGCTTTGACCTGAAATGTTCGATTTGAATCAGGAAACAGTTGAGCATTTCTTTGATGTAATTGCCTGGAAATGTGTGTAGGAAATGTCAATTGGCTCATCTTCTCTCAGTGGGTTCCTTGGAGGAATTTGTCTTCCTGTTACACAATTGAGATTTCCATGCAATTAGGCTTCATCACTGCAATTATATACTCTAGGTACTTTATAGGAAATGTAATCTGGCTGTTATATTTTACTTACAAGAGAGGATGAGCTCTGCTTGTTCTCAAAATACAGCTCTCATGTTATGATATTTTGCTAAGGAAAATTCAGTCTAATACTGAGATACCTGGAAACCATAAGTTTTGAGATGTTTTGGTAAGCCAGCATGCAACAATTTAGAATAAAAAATTATTGATTTTAATCAAAATCCTCAAAATCAGCCATTTACATTTTTTTTTCCTGTGCAAAATACCCAATTTTCATCTTTTTACCCCCGACTTGGGGGAACGGTGAACTGTTGGAATTTCTTGTGGGACTGAAAGGTTACAATTTACTCAGCTCTGATCACATGTGCTGGTAAAAAAGGTGTTGCTTACCACTGCTGTGTTGATGTTTAAACAGGTACCAGTTGTAGCAGTCATGACAACAGGAGGTGGTGCCCGGGCACTGACATCTCTGCTAGGCAACCTGTTGGGTCTTCAAAAGCTGGGTCTCTTGGATGCTATTTCATACATCACTGGGTCATCCGGTTCAACATGGTAAGGAGATCCTGAACATAGACATCATTCATCACTTCTGTAGCCTGCTGTGTAAGTTATTTATCCTCTTCATTTTGGTAAAGGTGTACTGGTTCAATCTCAAGCTTTTTTCATTGCTGCATTAGGAGCACGTTGCCTGAGCCAGTGTAGGCACTGCTTCCAGGTAACAACAATTTCCTTGACTTTTTTGTTTCAGCTCTAGGATCTTTCCTGCTGAGTCACTCTAGTGAAAATCACAGCCTTGTCCATAAACCTTAATAGCAAGGAGGGGTTTTTTGCAAGTCTTCAGGTTTCACCAGTGATTTGGGAGAGTCCTCTAACTCAAAAAATCTTTTCTCTTCAATAACAAACTGAGCCCAAAAGGTGTTTTTAATGAACCTCAGCAATTTCATTTGATGTGGACCTTAAATCTAAGTCTAAAAAGTGGAATGGGTCACAAGCATATGACAATGTACTTCTTTTCTTTTCTGCAGGACTTTGTCACATTTGTATCAGAGCACTGAGTGGTCACATAGGGATCTATCCAGACCGATTGGTGAAGTCCGCAGACATATGACCAAATGCAAGCTAAGCTGCTTTTCCCTGGAAAGCTTGAAATACTATGCCAAGGAGCTAAAACTGCGGAAGCAAGAGGGTTACCAGATCTCTAGTGTTGATTTCTGGGGACTTCTTCTGGAAAAAGCATTAAGTGATGGGGTAGCGTTTTCCCTAACAACTACTGAATACTGTTGTATAGAATATGAAGCTCTAGGGACAGATGTCAGCCTGAGAGCATGCCAGCATTATCCAGCAGATGATTTCTGTGGAATAACAAAGGGGTTTTAGAATTGTTGAGGTTGGAAAAGACCTCTGAGAACATCAAGTCCAACCGTTATCCTGTCACTGTCATGGTCACTGCTCAACTGTGTCCCCAGGTGGGACATGTACATACATTTTGAACACTTTCACAGATGGTGATTCCATCACTTCCCTTGGGAACCTGTTCCAGCCTTCCAGTGAAGAAATTTTTCCTAATATCCAATCTAAACCTTTCTCAGCAAAACTTAGAGTCCATTTCCTCTTGTCTTATCACTTGTTACTTAGAAGAAGAAACCAATCTCCAGTTGTCTACAACCTCATTTCAGGCAGTCATAGAGAGTGATAAGGTCTCCTCTGAGCCTCCTTTTCTCCAGGCTAAACAAGCCCCAGCTCCCTCAGCCACTCCTTATAAGACTTTTTATCTAGACCCTTCATGATCTTTATTGCCCATCTCTGGATGTGCTCCAGCACCTCAGTGTCTTTCTTGTAGTGAGAAACCCAAAACTAAGCATAGTACTTGAGGTGCAGCCTCACAAGTGCTGAGTACAGGGGGACAATCACTGCCCTGGTCCTGCTGGCCACACTATTTCTGATACAGGCCAGGATGCCATTGGCCTTCTTTGCTACCTGGGCACACTGCTGGCTTGTGTTCAGCCAGCTGTCAACCAGCACCCCCAGGTCCTTTTCTGCTGGGTAGCTTTCCAGCCACTCTTGCCCCAGCCTTTAGGGCTGCATGGGGTTGCTGTGACCCAGTTGCAGGACCCGGCCCTTCACCTTGTTGAATCTCATACAATTGGCCTTGGACCCCTGATCCAGCCTGTCCAGATCCCCTCTAGAGCCTTCCTACCCTCCAGCTGATCAACACTCCCAACCAACTTAGTGTCATCTGTAAATTTGCTGAGAGTTTTTTCTCCACATATCTCTTAACGCATAATTAGCAACTGAAAGGGTATTTTGTAGGGCAGAAAACCTGTGTCTCCTTCTACAAGTAGGAGTATCTGAGCACCTAAATGCAGAGTTCTTACTTGGTTTCTTTTCCTCTGTTCCTCCTTGTGAAAACTTAAATATCCATGTAAAATGGATGTATTTACTGGGAAGAACAGGAGACCATTTTTTCAAAAAGTATCCTACAGCTCTACCTGTAATTAAATAAGCTGATGTGGATGTGTAAATGTTTAGATCACTCCCTGGTTAAAAAATGTTTGGACACAAAATGAGTATAGAGGATAAGGAAATTAAGAGGGAAACAGATACTTATTTTACTGTAATCTTGCAAGCCAGTAGGCGATGACATGAAGGTCCCTTGATTTTGCCCTTTATCTCTCATCAATTTACAGAAAAATAACCACAAACTCTCAGATGAGCGACAGGCATTGAATCAGGGTCAAAATCCTCTACCTATCTACATGATCCTCAACATCAAGGAAGACTACAGCCTTTCAGAGTTCAAAGGTGATGGCAAACCTGGGCTCGTTTGGTGTTTAAATGATCTGCATTGTCGGTTACTGCATGTGTTGCAACCTCTTGTACTGCTGAACCATAGCTTTTATAAACAGTTTCTTTTCCTCCTTAACTTCTTTTTCAATTTCTAAACTTTGTGTCTAGGCTCTGGGAGGAATTAATCTTCTAGGGGGCATGAGAAATCTTGGGGAGGTGTTTAAGGACAGCCAAGGTACTTACAGACCTTAGCTCCACATGTGGGGTAACAGGCTGACCCCTTTTGGTATAAACTTCACTTACGCTCTTTGTGGAGAGGGTCATTGGAAAGTTCTGAATGAACAAGATTGGCAAAGATTACTGAGTGAGCAGCTGAAACCAGTTGAACAATACCTCCTTAGCCTGAGGAGGGCCAGGCTGTGGTTGCCTTGACAATAGGGTTTGTCCTGCAGCTGCTTTTTTACCATTTCAGAGCCCTTCCTGCAGGGAAGTAGGGATAGGAATAAGATTTTAAAGCTTGTTTCATGTCTCTGCAGAATGGGTGGAGTTCACCCCTTATGAGGTCGGGTTCTTAAAATATGGTGCCTTCATTCGTGCAGAGGATTTTGGCAGTGAGTTCTTCATGGGTCGCCTTATGAAGAAGCTCCCAGAATCCCGCATTTGTTTCATGAAAGGTGATGTGCTCCATTGCAAAAATTTGAATTGCATAAAAATGTCCTTTATTTTTAAAATAATGCAACCCCTGCATATTGCAACCAGCGCCCGGCATCGTGCAGGACTGAAACCAATTGTACACCATGTTGTTCTCACCTCTGACTGAATTCCTTAAACACTGGAGATGAGCTAAAAAATACTTAGAGGAAATTTCAAATCACATTGTTCACTGTTGCTTTTGTCTTGAACAGTGACCGTCATGCCCTGAAGCTTCAGGGCTACTTGAAAAGGTTAGGCTTGTTTTGAACCAGCCAGCAGCAGAGTTCCACAAAAAACCTTTGTATTTTGAAACTGTAATCTTAAAATAATTTTTGGCTATGAATGGCATGATCTTTTAACAAAAAGCAAGGTTGTTACTGAGTTTATTATAAAATATGACAATTTTTAGTAGTTTTCTGAACTGCTACTGATATTTTTTCAAGTTTAATAGTAGTCTAAATCCTTTGCAATTTTGCTATCATGATAAATCAGTGAGTTTTATCATTCTTATTTCAGTAAAGTAGGTAGCATCCAGCAATGTATGAAAAACAGCTTTGCCGCTTTTAGGGAATTCTTCTTTTAATTTTAGCTAATTCTGGAAATCTTTACTACCCCCCTTTGTACATTCATTCTCTGGGGTGCAGTTGTCTGTAGACAAGTCTGTCTACTCTTAAACTCTTAACAACAGATATTTTACATGTAAATGAGCACATCACCCAACAGAACAGCAAAGATACTGGCAAGAAATGGTTTACTTATAAAGTGAAAAATCCATGCAATCAGCAACACCAGGTAGTATTCCTTATTCGGTGTTCATCCATTGCAGTTTCTCAATAACAGTGGGGTAGTGTATTCATACCTGAGGTGTCCAGATAGCAACCACACCCAACACATCCAACCTGAGCAGAGCTTTCTTCTCAACCTTAACACCTGAGGCAGGTGACCCCATAGCCACAGGTGTATCTTTATAAAGGATAAGGTGGAGAGTTAAAGCAATGTTGCCATCTAGCGATACCACATGCCATGCCCTCTTGGGTTATGATTAAAATGTACTATTAGTGATAGCATGATCGTTTAAGGATAAAAGCAAGGTGTCATTTGCAGAAAGAGAAAAGACCTTTCATAAGAGCAGTGGTTAGAGCTGGAAAGACGGAATGAGCTTATGGGGATACAGGACCCTCAGGTTTCCAGAAGAATGCTTGGGGTGTATGAGAGCTTGTCTGCTCTTTTCAATTCTGTCAACCTAGTAAAAGATACTGTCTCTCTCCACAGTTCTTACTTCAGCAAATATAAGTACCAAGAAAATTCAGTGCAAGAGATTAGGGCAACATTGCTACGTAATTGTAACCAAATTCTGGGGAGATAGCAATGTTTGAAAGACATTAAAATGCAGAAACAGTGTCCCAGGACTGAGGGAGCCAGAAGAGTTATGGAGTGAAAAGACACCAAGAGAAGACAGGAGAAACCAGAGGAGTTGCCTTCTCACAGCAGGGCTGAACAGAAGCTTCTCAAGCTGCAGAGAGAGGAGGTTGTCTTGACAGAAACTAGCCAGTAATTATATGCAAATGAACTCTGGTTGCAACCTCTAAGTGTATAGCCAGAGAGCCCTAATGTGATTTCTTAATTTTGCATTTTTAACGTTTCTTATGTCAGTCCTAGTCTTACAAGGACTTCCTATGAAGCAGACCCTTGGCTTCCTGTCCCACTTCATGAACAAACAAGGTTTAAAAGGGAATTTTATATCTGTTACTAATTCATGGGATGAATAATTATTGTATTGTGCAACTCAAATTATTGCATCCTTTGCAATGTATGGCTTTTGCAAAGCTTTCACTGCTGGAGATTTTCAAGGCAAAGCGCAGCACAGCCTTCTTCCTCTCAGGGCCTCTGGCAGAGTTGTGGAGGAGGAAATACTTTCTAAGATCCATGAGACTTTTGGAGATTTCTGCACTGTGGAGATATTTTTATATGTTTTTTAAGTGGGAGAGAAAAAGTGGAAGAAGCACTATGGGGATGAGAATAACGAGGAGAGGAAGGGAAGTCTCATTCACAAGACCTCGTGCAATGAGAAATCTTACAAGGGACAGTGAAGATGTCTTTTATTAAAAACAATCCCAAATTGTGCTCTAACCATTTGACTGTTAGCAGTCCAGGAGCAGCTTCCAAACTTTAACTGAGTATCCACTTGTGTATGACATACTTTGTAGACCAGACACTTATTTTATAGGAAATGATATGGGTTTGCTCTCTGATGACAATTGCTTATAGGATGGAAAATGTTAGTTTGTATGTGGCAATGAATTATAGTGGCTAAAGGCCTTGCACAATGTTTTAAACTATTTAGGATCCTCTTTGAGGACAGAATAATGCTAGTTGCTGAAAGGAACTTCATACAGATTTTGGTGATAATTTGAAAACCTTGAGGCTTTCCAATACTCCTTGCAAAGCTGAGAGGTTTTTTTTTTTTTTAAGGGATATTTCCCATTAAAATGTTTCTGAAGAAGTTTCCCTGTTCTCTACCATTGGACAGGTCTATGGAGCAACGTCTTTTCCTACAATCTTTTGGATGCCTTGCATTCGTCAGATCCTACAGAAAGGCGCTCACTGAGGTGTACCCAACACAGGGCTGTTGATGTTGGTTAGTAACATTTCTGTTTTATCTCATAAATTCCAAGATTTCATGTTGCCAGCTACATCTAACTAGGTTTCCTCTCTGAATTCTTTCATAGCAATATTATTTTCATTAGTCTCCTTTGAACTGAATTTATGCAAATATGAAACTATTGAAGTTTATAAACAGTCTTTGCCAGGGACCCTTCAGTGAACCTTCATGTTCTAACAAACATCTCAGTGCTGTGTTCTCTGTCTGCCTCAGCAGATGGCGCTTTTCTTATGTTGTTGTTGAAGACTTAGATATAGCAATTATGTGAAGCTCCATTCCGATTTTCTTTGATCTTGTTATAAACCTTTGTTTTCCTTAGAGGTGTTGACTGTCCTTTTGTTGAGATGTGGTTAGTGAGTTTGGTTTACGGACTTTTCATCAGTTTCTCCATGGAAGTGTTGCAGAATCCTGAGCTCAATAAATGCCTGTGATAGAAAGCCCCTTTTTCCCAATCTGATAAGGTGCCATTTAGCATAACCCTTTTTCTATGCTCCTTTCTGGATGTCTAAGTCTCCTGACTTTTTTTTTTTTTTTTTTTTGCAAAGTCAGTTTGTATTAATTTTGAAAGAAGTGGGTCCAGATTCTCAGCCTACCCTGAGCTTCATGCAGGGAATCAGCTCATGGATTCTGTCAAACAGTAGATCACTTTTTCCATCTTTAGCAACTTTGTTGCCATTTTGACTGTTTTTCATGCAATATGCTTTACTGAAGATTGATTTCCTTGTTGTTCCTACTTTACATTTATTTAATTGTATGTTGCCATGTCTTATTAGGATCTTCTTTTCTCTAGCAAGTATTAAATGCCTTCTGATATTTTAAGTATTGCAAAGAACTGTATCAAAACAACAACTTGTTCATCTTCTCTCCCCTTCAGAAGATGAACCCTCTCCACCAGATGGGAGCCATGAGTTGGAGACTTACTTAGTGACCCCTGAATGTGGCATCGTGGGCATTATTCGTCGGCTGCTGACAGAGCGGGTGATTTTTTCAAAGTTCTACAACTTCCTGAAGGGGTTCCAAGTGCACAATGCATACCTTCAAAGCAAAAACTTTTGTATGTGGAAAGGTAAACACCCCTGAATATTATTTATTGCCTTCTTAAATGGTTGGTGTCTTCATCAGGGAAGGTAGAGGATGAACATTTGAAAAAAAATATTTCAAGATAACTATTTAAATTTCATCCAGCCAAATCAGCTTCAGTAATTCCCTTGATTCCAGGAAAGGAAATTACTGCTCATCGGAGTGAAAAAAGAGCAACAAGAGAATTGAAAGACCCTTGTCTTTTTATCTTGAACAGGTCTCCCTTTTCTGTGTCAAGTTTGAGCTTCTGTAGTGTACCAGGATCTTGGAAAGAAAATGTAATGGGGAGTCAAGAGTCATTTTTTCTCCCTTATTAGTCAAATAACAGAGATATTACTTCTTCAGTGAATCACTCATTGTAAAAAATATTTCCTTTTAGATACTGTACTAGAGCATTTCCCCAACCAGCTGACAGAAACAGCAGAGTTCATGTGCCTGGCAGACACGGCAGGATACATCGATATTAGCTATCCACCACTCATGAGGTCGGAGAGGAAAGTGGATGTTGTCCTGCACTTAAACTATTCTTCTGGATCACAGACATTGGTGCGATGACCACTCTATTTTTTTTATAATGACTGCTGCCTTTTAGTCCTCTTAGCCCTCCTTAAGTTCTGAGGATTCAGAATAATTTATGTAGAATAAAGTGATGGGAGAGAAGGATTCTTGGTATGCAGATTCCATTATGCAGATGCTTAGGTGTCTCCAGTGGTGCTGGTAAAACATGGAAAATCTCCTAAAGAGAACAGAAGTGGTATCAGTTCTTCCAAATATTTCATTTGAATTAACCCTCTAATAGCTAAATGCCATCTCCTAAACGTGTGTGCTCCTGTGATCTTAATATGGCTATCAAGACAAAACTTCAAATAGAGTGCTTATCTGGTACTAGTACCACCACTGATTAACTCATTTTGGTTGTCTTGTGATATCCATCTAAAGTTACCCACATGCAGTATAATTAGAAGTAATTTGTCCAGTTGTCCTTAGAACAGTAACTGATTTTTTTGTTGTTATTCTAAATTATGGAAAAGAATTGTCCTTTGACACCATACCTGCTGTTTCAAATACCAGCTAATAATCTGGTATATAATTCCTGTTACTAGATATGGATAAGACAGAAGTTCTTGAAGATTAAAATTTTTGTACATGCCAACCAGACTCAGAAACAAAAATCCTATTTTCAAAAATTACTGCAAGATTAACATTTCAGTTTAGATGGTATTTCTCCCAGATCACTCTTTGCTTCCATCACTTTTCATAACCATCCTTAGGCATCTAAGACAGTTAGAGGCTTTTAAATATTTCATACTGAGTCAAAAAAGTGTTTGTATTTCTCTGAATCTGCGTTTAAAAACCATGCTATTTCAGATTCCTGTCCATTCTACTCATTTTAGGATTTTCTCCAAGAGAGGTGTGTTTCTGTGTCCTAAGCTTCTAGGCCACCCTTCCCACAGCCTTGAACATCTTACCTATGTTGTAGGTTAAGGCAGTTGAGGAAGGTGAGGTAGAACAACCATCAGGAGTGCAAGTTGGAGGCTGAGCCTTGAACTGTTGTTCTGTTAATAACTGGTACTTAATATCTCACGTAAGAGACAAGGACAGAAGAAATATTGACAGCAAACCCTGCTCCCATATCTTTTTGAAGCTCTTTTGATGGATGCATTGTGCACTAGGAAAAGTGGTGGGGTGTGGCAGAATTTCTGAACTTTTCTCTTTTTTTTCTGAATTCAGCCTTTGGAAGAAGCCTCCAAGTACTTCCAAAAACAGGGAATCCCATTTCCCAAAATCCACATGAGTGAAGAAGAAAAGAAAAATCTAAAGGAGTGCTACATCTTTGAAGACACAGAGACCCCAGAGGCACCGACAGTGGTGTTTTTCCCACTGGTAAATGACTCCTTCAGAAAATACAAAGAGCCAGGTAAGCAATGGGACAGAGATGGTCTCCTCCCTCCCCTGCTGTCCTTCCCATGGGAGAGAAATGCAACTGTCAAGGCAGCAAAGAGTGTAACTTGTGCTCCACCTGGAAAGTGGGAGGTGGGACCAAATCTCTACCCCAACTGACAACCTTTCTTTATTTGTTAGGTGTGGAGCGCAACCCTGCTGAGATGGCACAAGGCAACGTTGACGTTTCTACCATTTTTTCCCCATACTGCTTAAACAGCTTTACCTACACAGGGGAGGAGTTTGACAAGCTGATAGAACTGACCAGCTACAATATTCGGAACAACCAACACCTGATCCTTCAGGCTTTGAATTCAGCCATAGAGCAGAAACGACAGCGCAAAAAATAAACACTCTCCTGAGTTCCAGAAAAATATCTGCATGATTTTTTTTCTTCTTGCAAAAGAATCAAGACCTGTCTATGAATGAGCACAATAAACTTTGGAAACTTACAGACTTGTAGTTTCTCTCTACCACATGGCAATCCTAGATAAACCAATCAAACAAAATAATGATTAGGCTTGTGCTTTATTTATCTTGGATTTCACTGCTGGTGAACTTTTTTTTTCATGCATATATATGTATATGCAGTAAATTAAAGATTAGGAAATATAGGGTTTATTGGCAAGTTTTTTAAATGCATGAATCTGGGACAGCAGTACAAATTCTTTCAAAATTCGCTACACTGCCAGAAGTTATGTGCAAAGTGAAGACAAATTAGCTACAGATATTTAATTTATTACAAATCTAGTGCAGCAGAAAAATACATAATACATTTGGACAATTTCAAAGAACATGAAAACTATATTTTCCATAGTGTCAGTAAGAAATTTTGTTAGAAATAATGTGCCAAGCTAAACATAAAAGATAATCTGAGATTTCAGATTTTCTATACTTCTGAATGTAGAAGCTTTATTACATCATCAGTATTTAGTTTTTGAAAATTTCTTGGAATTACTGTTTCAAACTGTACTGTGAGTCAGGATCAGCTCTTCTAGTGCAGGCGTAAGTGCCTAATCCAGGGTTCTGCTTTTCACTGAATAGTCATAGTATTTAGAGGATTCAGCCCAGTATCCACATCCCATTAATTTCAAGAGTTTTTGTAGTATTTCTTGTTATTACGGGATGGGATGCCGTGAGAATTAGAACATCAAAAACTGAGAGACAGATTTTGCAGTCAGAGGGCAAGTTAAATGCTTTACACTGATATCCATGGGTAATTCATAGGTAATGACATTGTCAATCCCTGACTGTCTACAAGCAACACAGGACCTATGCAACTACTATAAATAGCACAAGGTAATTTGTTGAAACTGCTTATTTTTGAAGTGAAAACGAAAATAATTATTTGGTTTATGAAGGACTTTAGCAACAAAAATGCTATGTAAACCTGTTTCATTACAAAAAAGATACTAACCTAATAAAAAAAAGGATTTAATGCTACAGTCAGCCCTTAATTACTTAAAATTTAAATGAAATGCAGCAACTTGTCTGTGCTGAAGTAACGTGTAATGGCAAACACAGAGCTATGAATATCTTGTATCTTAACCAAAATCGAAAGTAAATTTTTTATTCAAAAAGGCTGAAAATTTCTCTTCCCTCTTGCTATCCTAATCTGTCTCTCTTCCTTCAAGCATTCCTTTATGCCATGTCTTCCTCTAGTGTTTGTTGACTTTAGTCTCACCTCTGATGACCTCAGACCCTTGGCTGTGCTGTGTCCTTACCCCAGCTGATTTTCCAGGCCCTCACACCTCTGTCCAATTTCCAGTCCTGGTTCAAACCTCTAGTGTGCTGAAATGGCTGTTTACTTGCTGATGCTCATCAAGAGCTCCCCTCTTTGTGATCTGTGTTGCTGAGTCATCTGGTCCCTCTGGGCATTGCCTCTCCTCTGTCCCAGCTCTAACTCCCTCCCAGGCTTCCGTGAGTATCATTATGACAAACCCATTTGGTGTGACACATGTGTTTGTTACTTCTCTCAGCAGCCCATCTTGGAGCTGAGGTTTCGGGCATCCTAAAGGTCTGCAAATGAAGTTTCTGCCCTGAACATCCAAGTCCTTTGATGACATCAAATTTCAAGAAGCCTGCCTCTCTCTTCCCATCTCTGCATTTAACTATACCCTTTTGCTTCCCTTGATGTCTTCTGTTAAACCAGCAACAGCTGATTTAAAAGAGGGAGGCCCCATTTATTCCCAGTGTGCCACTGCTGCACCTGCCAGTGCCTAAGTCTGTCCCATCTCCCAGCAGTTTGACCAGGCCCACATGATAGGTCCTAGTGATGCTCTCAGTGTGGGAAAAGCTCTTAGACCATAACTGGATCTTCTTGTCAATTCTCCCCTTGCAATCCTGAAACATCCATGCCTTTCTTCTTTCAGATAAACCCACAGTCACCTGAGTTACAAGCAAAGCCTTTGCTTGTTACCCTGAAAATACCTTCATGTCCTGCATTGCTACAGACCCTTAAAAAGGTCTGGCTCAAGCCTGCACCCAGACAACCTTTTCCTGGGGCACCTGGTGCCTTCACCCAGAGATATGTAGCAACCCCTTGAGCAGAGGGGAAAGACACCAGCCCCGTCATGTCATTTACAGTTGTTTTCTTCTTCTCTGAGATACTGTAGAAGTGTCTCCAGGTAATTGCTCCTCATCAGTGGCCTGTTCTCCTGACTACCATCTATCAGCACTCCTGGTCCGTGTTTAGTAGATGTGCTTTGTTTGTGGCTTAGAGAGTTGGTTAATTTGGTGGGTTCAGCTTGCTTTTTATCATTGCATTTATTAACTAATTGCACAGAACACTTGCAGAAGATCCGTTCTTTCAGGCCAGTATGGCCAGTGTGGCTTTGCCTGCTGGCATTTTTTGTTCTGGTTCAGCTGCTAATGGGGTATGTTTCCTGTGCTCTGTCTCTGGGCTGTACTGAGGCATTGAAAGAATGTAGGTAACAGCTGTATATGTGGGCACTTAAAAGCCCTTTTGGGTTTTGCAGGTTGGGAGTGTCCCCTTTCACAGGAAAAAGGAGTGTCTTCATGGAATTATCCCTTCAAGAGAGGAAATACAATAGAGGGGAGAGAAGCAATGCAAAAATCTAAGCCCACGCTGTATCATGGTGTTAGCATCAGCAGGAGTTAACATTTTTTTTCCTAAATGTTTTAGAAGATAAAACTCTTGGTAGATGTGGTAATAGGAACTACAAACTAACACGCTGACCTCCTTACTTGTAATTAATATGTTTTGCATCTTTTCTGTGTCTGGCTTTTCCTTCTTACCTATTCATTATCTACAAGTAAGTGAAGGGATTAGCATGCAATTGCACATTTGCCCCAGCCCTTCCGATTGTCACTAAGGTGCATGAAGAACTGTGCAGCTCTGTGGGGTGACTCAGACCATAGGAACCTAAGGAAAGCAGCAGCAGGATTCTTTAACCCCTCACGAGGCATGTGAGAATTTGAACAGTCTTATTGGGTGAGTGCCACTTAGGAAGCAGAAGCATTTTACACTGTTCTGTAACACAAAAAGTGATCAAACGAGATTACTGCAAACATGCTAAGTGAAGTGAGCTATTCGTTTATGTGACTACAGGTTGCACCACATGAGTGATGGGAAATGTGTTTGCCTCAGCAGATAAAGGAGAACATGGGTGGTAGAGGACTCCCCTACTGAGAAACCCTGTGCCAAAACCTGTTTACATGTATAGCTCTGCTATGTGTGTACAATATCTCGCTGTCTTCTAGAGTGGTAATGCTGCAGAGGAGGCCATCAGGGCCTCATTTCCTCATGGAGGAATACCATACCTCATGCATACCATACCTGGCCATGGTATGCTGGTCAGCAGTTAGCAATGGGTGAGAGCTGTGTGTCCTTCATGCCATTCAAATTTTGTACCTTTGAGTTCCTCCTGAAAGTGTGTCCTTGCAGGGTTCCAGTTGAAGCCCAGCACACTTTCAGTGTTCATAAAGCACTTCTCTCACCCCTCCATCCAACGATATCAAAACTCTAGGATGTCCTGTCATGTCTTCAGTTGCTTCCTCCTGGGGCCCTGAGGTCTCCTTTATATTCACTTCAACCCACTATTGCTTATCCAGATGTCACAGCCTGATTCCAGCTGCCCCAATTCCTGTAGTATTCATGCTTATTCCAAATATGACCAAACCTTCATCATTTAAACTTGAAGTTTCCAGAGGTACAATTACAGTACGTAGGAGACATGTGAGACAAAGGGGAAAGATTAAGAAAACAGAGGGTATAAAAAGCAAGGAGGGAGAAAGGAGAGAAGGGAAACAAACTATAATACTCAAGAAAAAGTGAAAAATTGAATTACAGCTATGTGGTATTGAGAAGGACAAAGGAAGGAAATATATATTTTGGAAATCTAAGAAGTCAATGGTAAAGAAAAGGTGTCAAGGAATGGAAAGAAGAAACAAAAGAGGAAATCGGGAACAAAAGGTGGTGAAGACAAACATTTAAAATGGAGATACTCTAGTTTCTTGAAAGCAGTCTTGGTAGACTGGTCCTTTAAAAAGAGTAGTAACTAAAAATCTCTAATCCAGAAAATGTCATAGCATTAAATCTCACTGCTGGGGTTCTGATCATTTGGTTTTACAGACACCTGATATGTACACTGTGAGCGCTTCCTAGCTCCCAGCTCTCTCTTCTTTTTTTCTGCCTTTAAACACTGGGAAGAGATGGCGCCTTGCCCTCTAGCAGACTGACTTTTCCTGCCAACTGCTGCTTATTGCGCCCTTCTCTCCCTCAGCTAATAATCTGTAAATTAGTTTACTCCCCTCCTATTTTCTTTCTTCTGCTGAGGTAATGGAGTATCCTCAGAGGCTGATAACTATCAGGTAAGGAGCTGCAAGTTTCTACATAAGTTAATATGCACTTCTAAATCTTGTGCAATTGACAGTTGCTTCTTTAATTTTGCAATTTCTGCTATTCAGCTGGATGTCATCCAGTCTTAAAAGAAAAATCATACTCCAAATCCCTCCTTAAGCTGCATTTCTTTTGGCTTAGTATCTACTAGCCCAAATATGACGTAATTTGGTTTTAACAGATGATATCCTAGAATTTGTTAAAGGTTAAATCTTTTGGTCCCACATACAGATAAGTATTCAGAAAATTCTTCATATTCCTGGTCACTCTTAATCTCTAGTCCATGATCTCTGCAGGTGCAGGAACTGATGGCCTGTAACCCACAGTGGGAGGAAGCATTATACCGGTCATATTGCTGGTTTCCATCTCATGAGGATATGATAAACTTGCATGTAAGCCTGCAGAAATGTTGAGAGTCAACAGTGATTCAAAAAACTTTGGGAACTGCTCTTCTAGTTTACTGCAGTCCTGGGAAACTTTCTCCAAGTA